CCCTACAGAATTCACACCGTGTGCCATTTCAGCTTGTGGTAGCAGCTCAAAATGTCTAGGTCAGACAGAAAGCATGGCCTCGTAGCTTGCTTGCACAATTGGAGCCCTGCAAATCCTATTCATTGTAAGGCCACCCAAAGCCCCCAGGAGTCGCAATCAAATCAATAGCACACACAGCTTTGACTTGGAAAGGTGGCTCTCCGGGGAAGAAAGGCCTAGAGATCTACTTCCCCAGAAAGTCAGCTACCAAAAACCACAGGAAAGGAATTCGATAATAAAGCACTTGTTTTATGGAAGGCTTCAGTTTGCAGTGGGAGTTCTCATCCATGTTGAGCCTTGACATAAATTCAGCTCCATCTGACCAGAAACTGTCAATGTAAAAAGCTTTGCCCTACTTGGAAATACAGGGAATCCAGGACAGATAAGCCCCTCAGGACCAATAATGAGAGTAGCAAGACCAGGAGGGTAAGGGTAAAGTGGGGGGAGAAAAGGGGAACCGATCCCAATGATCTACATATAATCTCCTCCCAGGGGGACAGACAACAGAAAAGTGGGCGAAGGGAGACATCTGTCAGCGTAAGACATGGAAGAAAAAAAAATTATAAATTATCAAGGGTTCATGGGGGAGGGAAGTTTGGGGAGGGGAAAAATGAGCTGCTACCACAAGCTCAAGTAGAAACTGTTTTGAAAAGGATGATGACAACATATGTACAAATGTGCTTGACAAAATGGATATATGTATGGATTGTGATAAGAGCTATACAAGCCCACAATGATTAAACAAAAAACGTTGCTCTTAAACTGTTTGAAAGTAGCTTATACTCTTCTTCCAAGGTTGCTCTTTGGGAGAAAGATGAGGCTATCTACTTTTACTGCCTCAGAGACCCTATGGTCATTATGAGTTGTCATGGACTCGGTTACAGTGTTTTTAGCCCAAAACAAGTACTGGCTGTGCTTGTTGTGGGTTGGGGGTATCAGTCAACGGTTCAGTCACCGGTGGCTTTGTCAGGGATGAGGCTGTCCACTCCCTTAAAGAGTCACCATCTGGGAAATTTTATATAAAGTCACCATGGTGACCTAGTGGCTACGCATCAAGCTAACCACAAACTCAGCAGTTCGACCCCACCAGCGCCGGTCAAGATTGAGGCTCAGAAACCCAGCCGGGCAGTTCTACTCTGTGCCACAGTCAATGAGTCAGAATCAACCAGCTCCGCAGTGAGTGAGGGGTGAATTGGAATCGTTTTAGTGGCAGCGAGCTTGGTGTTTTTGTTGTGGTGGTTTAGTCAGCCCAGGGAGGGGCATTCTACCCTCTCTCCCCATCTTACCTGAATGTGCCCTTAATGGGAATTGATTGGAGTACCAGGCCACATGGTCAGAGGCCTCAGAGTCAACCCAGTAAACTTTTCTAATCTACAGTAGTACATGTATCCCAAGCCTAGCCCCTTTCCTCACTCCCTTGGAGGTCTGCCTGTGACCATGATGAACTGATTGGCCACCAATCATGATTTGGTGAGGATTTCATTTGTTTTCCATGTGTGATCATTAGCTATGTCCCCATAAATCCTTTGACAGAATTTTGGCCTCAAACTGATAGTCTCACCAGCCAGATGATTCTTGTCCTGTCCTTGTCTTGTTTAAGACTTAGTAAAGGGGCTCCATAAAGTATCTTTGAATTAGAAGTATCTTTACCCCCACAATGGATGCACACAGTTTCAATTTGGAAAAAGGTTAGGTCCAAGTTTTGAGAACTGGGGAGAAATGACTGACACATGACAAATGATTTACTGCAACTCAGCAATAAGATAGATTGGACTTATGTAGATATGTCAGACAATTGTTCAAATAGACTTTGAATTATTACCCTGGAAAGAAATTTGAAAACCATGTGATCTTAGCCTAAATGATGTATTTATTTAAGGAATCTGGGATCCCTACTTTTAAACCCATTGTCACATGGATAGTGTGATGAAACTCCTAACATCCTAGCTCCTATTCCAATATTCTTTCTCCACTATCTGCTTTCTGTAGATCCAGTGTATAAATGATAGGGGGATAAAAGAAACAAAAACCCTGCCGTCAAATGGCCCTGCTCAATGCTTACCTCAATGAAGAGGTCACTGAAGACAGGGGTGCGATAGCAACGGATGTTGAAGAAACTAGACAAAACGATTTTCTTTCAAAGAAACTATCAGAAAGAATAATGTCTGAGGTCTTAAAGTCTTGTCTTCAAGCAAGCAGCCTTGTAAGATGAGGTATCAACTAAGTCCACGTGGAAAAGCACACCAGCCTGTGTGATCCAAGGATTGTACATAAAATCTAAATCTGAAGATGGGAATGGTACCAGGGCTTAAATTGTGAACATCCAGTTTGCAGTGGAAACTCAAATCCATTTGCAAGGTCCCCACATGGATTGAGCCTCCAGTGAATCCCCTCTGATGATGTGAATAGTCTTGTTATCAGACAGACAACATTGTAAAGTCAGTTATGGTAGATATTGTCAGGTTAAACTGTAATATCTTATCAATTTATCTTCCTTTTGACACATTTTAAAGTTGTTTCAGTTAAAAAACAAAAGTGAAGGGGAAATACATGTGGATTAAACCTCCAGTGAATTCGCTCTGACAGAGACCAGGATGTGAATAGCCTTGCTATCATGTACAGTGCATGGGAAAGTGAATTATTGCAGGTGCACCTTATCATTTGCTTTTTCTTTTAATCTACTTAAAAAAATTTTTTAAGAAACCCCATAGGGTAGCGGTTCTCAACCTCTGGGTTGAGAACCAGTAGCAAAATGACAGTTATGAAGTAGCAACGAAAATAATTTTATGGCTGGGGGGTCACCACAACATGAGAAACTGTATTAAAGGGTCGCAGCATTAGGAAGGTTAAGAACCTCTGCCATAGGGTTTCTGAGACTGTAACTGTTTAAGGGAGTAGAAAGCCCTGTCTTCTCCCAAGAAGCAACTGGTGATTTTGAACTGTTGACCTTTTGGATTGCAGCCTACGGCATAACCTCTATGTCACCAGGGCTCTTTGGCAAAAGGCAGGGTTTATGTATTCCTGTCCCATTAAAAAGAAAATGAAAAACTTGTCAGATTTTATTGCTGAATCATTACATTAACAGGTACCAATATAAAACATCACTCATTTTAATACATTGTTTCTTTGTGATTTATGTGCTTATCTAACGACTTGCCAAGCCTTGATATTAACTCAAGGTTTCCCAAGCCTTGAAATTAAATATTACTTTGCATTTCTTGCTATATTTTCAAATGCAGCAACAACAAAAAACCTCTAGTCTAACAACTTGATATATAGCAAAGATGACTCTACAAATAAATGAGGAAAAGCAAAGAAAAGAATGACTGTTGAATACAATGATACTAGTAAAATGGTTATAATATGGGAAAAATAAGATTAGGGCCTTACAACCATATATATCCTTACAGAATACCAATCAAAATAAT